TCGCGGCCCCGGGCGGCGTCCCCGCCGGCCTCCGGGGGCTGGGCACCCACCCCAAGAAGGAGCCCATGGAGGCGCTGAACACGGCGCAGGGCGCGCGCGACTTCATCTACAGTCTGCACTCCTCCGAGCGGAGCTGCTTGCTCAGGGAGCTGCACCGCTTCGAGTCCATAGCCATCGCCCAAGGTAAGGGGCGCGCCGGGACCCCTGCGTCACCAACTCCACCCCGCCCCGCCCTGCGCCCGGGCCCTTCCGCGCGGGGGCAACTTTCCCTCCTAAGTGTCCCCGGGTCGGGTGGGACGGGCAGGCGCGATCGTGCGGGCCAGTGTCCTCCGCGGCCCCGAGCAAATGCCCGCCGCGCGGGTTTGTATTTGCATTTGCATCTGCCTTTGTATTTGCATTGTTTTGCGGTGCGCGGCGGTGTGCGCCCGGAACTCAGCCCTCCAGTCCCCGAGCCCTTGCCTGCGTGCCCTCCAACATGCTCGAGAGTGTCACCAAACCGAGAGGCAGGAGGAAACTTTCCTGCCTGCAAGATCGTGGTGTCGGGGAGCAGGGTGGGGGGGTTGCCACGGAAGTCTGAGATGCGCGCAGCTGCGGGGGCCAGACAAGTGTTTGTGTGCTGGTTTAGCAGTTGCCCGGGCGCTGGAGAGCACGGCCCAGCCCGGGAGCCTTGCAAGCCCGAGGGGGGCCGGGGTCTCCGCAAGTTAGAGCCCCGCTGTCGTCGTTTACCTCGAGATTCAGAGAATCATTTCATGACTCCCGACCAGACAGCTGACTTCTGCTTACGAGGAGCTGCAATAATGAAAGCCAGCTGTTTTCTTTCTTTCTTTCTTTTTTTTTTTTAAGCCAGCTATTTTTAAGCCAGCACGTTAAAAGAGGATATTTTTATAAAGGGTGCAGAATGTGGTAAGGTCAGAGTTGGAGAGGGGAAAGCAAAAAGTTTAGGAGAATTCAGAGGAACTTGTGACAAAGAAGAATTGAGTCTTGAGAGTGTTTTCCTAAATGCAGCCAGACCAAACATGTTGCTGATGTATTTGATGTGCCATTCGGTTGGGCTTGGAAGTTTGGAAAGTTCTCTTTTTTTGTTTTTCTCCTTGTGGGTGAACTTCTGTTTGTGTGCGCAGGGACAGTTCCATAGATCCTAAGCTGAGCCCATTGACTTGGTTCTTGGCCTTGGATTGGTGAGAAGCACATGAAAGTGCTTCTATAATGAAAGAAAGAATTCGTTACCTTGTCATAGGGACTTTTGAAAACGTCTTTTAAATATCAGCGAGCCAGTCACTTACTGTCACGGAGTCAGAACTGACTCATAGCTGATGCTCCAGCACGTTTTGGAGACGGTAAAACACACAGGAGGAGATTGCCCCTGTGGAGCTGCTGGGGGATTCGAACCGCTTGAAAAGCATCACCTCTGGGTTGGCAGAGCAGCTGCTTAAGCACTAGGCCAGCATGCATGACTTAATTAGCGGAAGCTGTTCACTGTGCCTTCTGACTACTTCTTTCCCAGGGAATTGTGGACCTATTTGCTTACAGTATTAGATAACTCCATGCATTTTTTTTTTACAGAAAAGATGTTATATCCTAATCATTTCAGTTATTAAACACATTGAAGCATGATGTTGTGTAAAGTCAGAATCACGTATTTGCAAGCTAAGCTAAGTGCGCACTCTGAAATTTAAAAATGTTCACTTTTGGAAATGTGCCCTTTGCACAACGATATAGCCAATTGTTTATTGGAATGTTAACTATAGGAATCTTTCTTCACAGGTGAGATTATTTAATTAACAAACATTTGATTTTTTTTCTACATAATTTCTTCAGAATCTTGCATTTTCAACCTTGTTAAAAGATAGGCCCTGTAATATGATTCTATGGCAGTTTATGGCAAAACGTGTTTCAGTGCAGGGGGGTAAATTTTACCTTTACCTCAGACATTGTTTTAGCACAGAATTAACCATGGCGGTAAAGAGCTGTGCTGCCAACCCAAAGGCCAGAGGTTCAAATCTACCAGCTCTTCCATGTGAGGGAAAAGGGCACTCACTCTCCTCTCGTGATTTCCAGCCTCCTGCTGGAGGTCAGCTGTGTGTCCATCCTGATGAAGGGTGCAAAATCACCACTACCACCAACACAGTATTGTGGTAAAGCCGCAGCTATTTTCCAATGATACTTCAAAATTTAACATGGTTTTAAATATCATGGAAAGGACTTAAAAACATTTCAGTTGCTTTAGAGTAAAGCAATCCCTGCCTGCTTCGTTCGGTCTGGCCTAAAGGTAGCAGCTTGCCTTGTGCAAAAAGCCCACTCACCGCTTGTAGTTTGCAGACTTTGGAAGGGACCTCCATACTGAGCTAGTTTCACTTGGCCACTCCCCTAGAAGAAAGGGCCCTGTTATTCCTGTTTGGTTTGGCATCCAGTAGAGGCCCTCCATCAGAGATCCTCCACACCCTGTGGTCTATGGAAGATCATTGTCTGTCACCTGCTCATCTAACAGGCGAATACCCCCTCAAGTAGCATCCTATATTGCCTCTGTCCCATGACTTGCCAAGAATGGTGGTTACCCATACCAGAGGTCACTTGTGCCAGGAAGAACCTGAAAGCAAAATGGATGGTCACTTCCCTTCTTGAGGGAACTCTCTCATTATTATTATTCTACTTTATTTACAAAATTTGAATACATTGTTTTTCAGACCAGATTCTTCCAATTTCCCTCACCACCCATGAAATTGTACACCCCTATGATTAATACCTACCTACCTCTCATTCTCATCCCTCTGCTTCCACCCTCCTCCTCCCTTGGATCCTCATACTCATTCTGCAGTAATAGTTTTATACAATATTTATCCTTGTGGCATGGAGTTAGTTCACTCACCAAATGCTCTCCAGTCCTCTTGAGGGAACTCTTATTTAAACATGAATAAATTCCAAAAGAAATGAAGCACTTGTGAGGAAGAACTGACCTGGCATTCATGATTCCTCTCTTCACCTGTCTCTTTTCTTGTGATACAGTGTGTAGAAATAAATGACTTTTGTTACTCCATTGCCATTGAATTGGTTACAATTTAAAGCAGCTCTTCAGAGGGTTTCCCAGGCGGTGAATCTTCATAGGAGACTGCACATCTTTCCTCTGTGGAGCTGCTGGTGGATTAGAACCAGTGACCTTTCCATTAGCAGCCCAGTAGGTTATTATGTCACCGGGTGTCTTTAGTACAGTCTTTTCAGTATCAGAATGTACACTTAGACCTAGCTTATCACTCTTTCCCATTTATGGCAACTTTCAAACAGTTCTGAGCTGTACCTTTGATAGTCTGGGCCCAGTGGGCAGTAGTGGGGCATGACTGGCCACCTAAAGGCTACCCTGGAGGCCCCACTGACACATGAACTACTGGAGGAGGCACAGTATCTCTTTTCATCAAGCATGGCTTGGTCTGGCCATGGAGGGCACTGGGCAGTGGTGGTAGGATGGTGAAAGGGCCTGACGGTGCCAGAATTGTCCACAGGAGGTGGGGGGAGAGAAGGGAGGCAGCAGGTTGGGATGGACAGAAAATGAGTGGGGTTGCTACCTGGAGTGGACAGAGAGGTGAAAGGCGGAAGATGAGTGGGGTCCCTGACCAAGGTGGTTAGCAAGAGAGAGTGGACAGAGGACTCAGGTCTTTACCCAGGACCTGAACAGCAGGTGGTAGGTTCTTCCACCTCCCTGACCCTACAGGTACTGAAGGAGTGGTGAGGAAGGGAGTTTGCTGTGCTGTGGGCATCCCACAATGTACCAGGGTCACGTGAAAGGCAGTGAGAGAGTAGGGGGCATTTGTGCCATGTGCTTGCCCCTCATGTCATGCAGATTCTGCCTAATGACTTGGTCTTTGGATCCTAGCCATGTTGGTAAGTGAGGAGTAGGTGTGTTAATTATGGAGATAATTGGAATCATCACTCAAACTCTTACCAATTCATTAACAGTTTAAAGTAGATGGGGTTTTTACTGTGTTGAGAAGTATACAGCTCATTCTATTGTTACTTCTTTTTTTGGGTTAGATGAAAAGCTTTGTTTTTCTGTTGTTGCTTTTTGAATAGAGTCAAATAACCAATTCATGGACTAAAAGAAGTAAATTATCTTTTAGAAAGATTTGTTTCAAGTGGTAGGAAAACTTAGATGTTCTTGAAAAAAGTGTTTTTAAGAAAGAACTCATGAAGGGTTATGGTCTTGCCATGGCAACATTGCAGGAAGATATCATGCTTTGTCATAGCGTTGTAATCTACTGGTATATTTTGATGTATTGCCTTTATCTTTTTTTATCTGCTTATCACTGGGTATGTGGAATAATTTGTGACAAGATAAAACTTTAGAATCAGTTTGTAATAGATAAAGCAGGGTTTGTGGAGTGTCTTATCATAATTAAATAGTCAGTTGTAATTTCAAAGTTATTAACTGATTTACTCTCCAAATTAAAAGAATGTTGATGTTGTGATCTTAGCTTACCTGCTTAACCTGATCTATCTTCTGCTGACAGAGTGTTCATTGTTGACTCATTCTTTTTACAAGTAGGGCTAGCAAGCTAATGTTAATTGTAGTTGTCTACTAGTGTTTAACCAAAATTTTTAATACAATTTCACTTCCTCTTTTTGCAGTTTATATTTCTGCTTGCTTACTATTTTAACTTTTATAATGTTTCAGTTTTGATTTTAAAGGAAAGGCAGTACTCATTGTATTAGTTCTCAGTTGTTGCATAACAAATCACTTCAGACCATAGTAAGTAGCTTAAACTAGTATGTCTTACCTAACAATTTCTGAGGATCAAGAATCTGGAGCAACTAAATTGGACATTTCTGGTATGGAGTCTTCTTCTATGAAGTTACAAGCATCTTCTGAAGCCTCAGCCGGGAGTGGAGGGTCCACTTGTCAGAAGATTCACTTGGTCTCTGTTTGCATTAGTTCTGCCCGCGGGTGCAAAATGGAAGGCACTGTGCTAGGGTATGAATCCCAGAGGCTGAAAATTCCTAGAGACCATCCTTGAGGCTGCAGATAACTGCTTTAAGGTCTTAGAGTCCATGTTCATCACAGAGTTAAACAAAGAAGAGAGACCTAAGGACCCCTAGTGGCACAATGTTCATAAAATGTTGGTGGGAAATTGTGCAACAATGAATGAATTTTTTTAAAGAGAAAAGCGAACTGGAGTAGGTTGGAGGTAGGGATG